AAACATCGCTGGCGAAGGTGGCAGTGGTGGCGGTGGCGGTGGCGGTGGCAGTGGTGGTGGCAGTGGTGGTGGTGGAGGTTGGTGGCCAGTCAGAAGGTGTCCCAGACTGCCGAGGCTGGAGGAGGCGGTCAGACTGAGAGGGAGAGGCAGTTGCAGAGAAAGAGGCAACGAGCCCGTGGAGTGGTTGTTGTTGTTGCTGTTGTTGTGATTGTGATTGTGCTGGCTGTGGATGTGGTTAGGGTGCTGGAAGTTGGTGGAGTGGGCGGGTTGTAGGTTGGCGGAAAGATGGAGAGAAGGGCCGAGGGGAGGCGAAGGAGAGGGTGGTGCGAGTTGAGGCGGAGAGGGTGGGCAAAGAGGTTGGAGGTCGTCGTTGCCCGAGAAGGCTGACGTGTTGGCGCTGGCGCTGGCGGTGGCGGTGGCGGTGGCCGCGGCCAGCAGCATTTGCAGTTGGTGGAGTTGGTGGATGTCGATGCCGGCGGTGGGGAAGCATGCGGCAGCCGCGGCGGCGGCGGCGGCGGCCAGAGCGGCCTGACCGAAGCCGGCCGATGAGGCGGTGGTGGTGGAGGCGGAGGAAGTGGAGGAGGTGGAAGTGGAGGAGGAGGAGGAGGATGGGAAAGCGGGGAATGTGGGGAAAGAGGGAAAAGTGGGAAAAGAGGGGAACGAGGGAAAGGAGGGGAAAGATGCGACGGACGATGGAGTGACCGAGTGGATGGGGACGGTAGCGGAGGCCGGCGTCGTGGTCGACGTGGCCATTTGGAGCGCCGAAAGGTCGGCGGGTTTGAGTCCGGCCAGGCCGGATCGAGGAGCCGGTGAGAAGGAGGCGAGGTGAGGCTGCGACTGCGTCAAGTGAGCCAGACTGACAGGGCCCGAGGCGGCGGCGGCAGCGGCAGCTGCGGCGGCGGCAGCAAGGCAGTCGGAGACGAGGCCGATGGCGGGACTCGAGCCCAGGCCGAGATGGGCAGATGCATGCGGCGAGTGGAGAAGCAGTTCCGGCGATTGGAGGTGGTGCGCTGGGGCGAGTGAAGCGGCCGTCTGCAGGACGGAGACGGACGCTCCGGATCCGGACAAAATGGGCGAGTGGGCGAAGGACATGTGGCTGGTCGACTTGGTTGCGTGTCCGGCGTGACGTTGCCGTGACGCCGAGGCGCCAGTCGGGCTTGGGTTCGGGCTCGACGCCGGGGCTACGGCGGCCTCGGGGGCGAAGGAGAGGGGCAGGAGGCCGCCGGCGGCGGTACTGTCGCGACGGTAGGGCCGTTTTGTGCCTGAATGCAGCCGGCCGGGCACGAGGCCAGACGGTCCGTTCTTGGACGATGGAGGGACCGGCGGGCCCGGAGGCGGCGGTGGCAGCAGGACGTGTCGCGAAGTCGACTCGTCGACTCCGTCCAGGAGGCTGGCCGACTCGAAGTTGTGCACCTGCAGCTCGTGCTCGGCCAGTTGACTGGAGTGGAGGAACTGGCGTGTGCAGAAGCGACACGCAAAAATGCGACTCTCGATGCACCGCTTTCGATGTGTGTTCTTGTGTCGATTCAAAGAGCCTGACAGGCCGAGTCGAGAATGGAGGGAGATTTTGGTACCAACAGTTTAAATGACCATTAGGTTGCGCGGAATCTCGTGGTTTAAAATTGTTTGGCCTACTTAAAGTTCGAGTTGAAGAGTGAAATAGGTGTGGAAGCCTCCTATTATGAGCAAGCAATGAATATGCAGGTTAAAGTTGGTACCAACAGGTCTATTCAACAAACGGCTAAATGACTAAATATCAGGCTAACCATTTCGGCACGATCAAGTTGCCATAGTACAGTGAGACATGCACTCTGAAATAGCCAAATAAGGCCATAAAGCATAGC